ATTTGGATATTTTCATGTCTGGGAAAAATTTGGGATTAAACGGGCTAAAATGCGTTTTCAACATAAAGTTAAGTGGTTTTCATTACCCATTTTACTCTTAGTAATTTAATAATTTAATAAATTTCATCATTTAAAAGTTTAGTTCAGAAGTATCGTATCGGTATCGATATCGACGATACTGCCTTGAAAAATATCGGTATCGTATCGAAAACAAAATAAGTGGTATCGCCCATCCCTACTGCACTGGGTGTGTTTGCCAAGTCACAGACAGATACAAAGCCACCATATAGCATATGAAAGCAAAAAGGTCGTCTTTGGAAAACTCACTAACCATAGACTTCTCATGGCCAATCATTCACCCACACATGGACGTGTCTCAGAGTGTCGTCTTCTTGTTTTTGACATAATGAGGAATCCAATCTTTTTGGTGTCTCTAACATAAAGGCTTAGAATCTTAAACAAACTAATAAATAATATAAAAGTTTAAAACAGATGCATGTAAAATTTAATTGCCATAGTAACATAGGTCATTTGTACCGTAAAATATATATTTTAAATAAATTACTATACTTTTATTCAGCAAGGACACGTTAAATTGATCAAAAAGGAAGACAGTAAAGACATTTATAAAGTTACAAAAAAATTATAATTTTAAATAAATGCTGTTCTTTTGAACATTAATCAAAAAATTATTTAAAATAACATCAGTTTCCACAAAACATATTGATAATAATAGTAAATGATTCTTCAGCACCAAATCACCATATAAAAATGATTTAACAAACTCCAAGATTTTGAAAAAAAATCTGTAATTAAAATGGTATATTATTTAATATTAATTTATATAGTTACACAAATAATGACTTTCATGCTAAATAGAGAGAATTCTACCCATTATTATTATCTCTGTCAGAGGCAGCGAGTGTCAGGCAGCTTTGGCAGAGACTGTTAGTCAGACTCAGAGAATGCCTGTACTGTTTTCACTCTGGATGGGTCAGTGTCTAAACCAGGGGTCACCAGACTCGGTCCTGGACGGCCGGTGTCCTGCAGAGTTCAGCTCCATCCCTAATCAAACACACCTGAACCTGCTAATCAGGGTCTTACTGGGTATACCTGAAACTTCCAGGCAGGTGTGTTGTGTGTTCCAGGCAGGTTAAATTCTGCAGGACACCGGCCCTCCAGGACCAAGTTTGGTGACCCCTGGTCTAAACCCTAAAGCCCTGCAGAGAGACAGTCTTTGAGCTATGAGGTGCTCTATCTTGGTTGCCAGTCTTAGCTTCTGCTTTCTTCTTTTTCTAGTTTAGCTCTCACTCGAATAACTCTGATTAGACAAACCTAAATAAAGAAAAGTTAGGTGCGTTCAAAGAGATATACATTCAACTCAACTCAAAGTCACTAGTGTAAAACCATCAGGAGTTTCTCTGCAATTATCTATTTATGACAGGAATGCACTCACAATTGTCCATGATCAGGTCCACTTTCTTCTCACAGACTTCCAATCACTTTTGCAAACCCCTGGAAGAAAAATGTAATCACAAAATTTCATAATCACTGTTTTGTTGGCTAGAAGTACTGACACCTGTTCACTCCTCACACTGAACTTTGCTGAAACGACTTAGCGATAGTGAGGCATGTCCTAACATGTACAAGGGGGAACACAAGACCAGAACTCATGCTGATTTATGGACTTTGCAGTGGACACAAGCATATAACATAAGATATGTAGAGAACCAACTTAACAGAATTTAGGGCTGTAATATTTAGAAAACGTTAATTATGCTAAGATTATGGCATTCACGTATAACAAGGAAAGAGATCCAGGAAGCACTCATGTTTGGAAGCATTTGTGAGATAGATTTAAGAAATTTTAAATGATTTTATAGACTTCTAGTTTGAAGCCTGTTAAGTTAGTTATGAGATGTGTTTAATGTCTCATGTGCAGCAGAAACAATATAAAAGTGAAGATGATATTTATAAAATACGAATTGCAAATGCACAATTGTCAGCAAACAGAAGGACACAGGACAGGAACTGACACAGATGAGGTGTTTATTGACATGAGTAAATGAGACAAACTGATGGACAAAGCAGACTTAGCTGAGATATGGGTGAGTATTGGCAAGCAGATAAGAGTCCACAATGGTGATAGCTCAACAGGATGATGATGCTGATGATGATGATGATGATGATGATGAAGACGAAGACAGCCGTAGATGAATAGTGCCGGTAGGTAACCAGGTATGTTGTGTAGGGTAACAACAAGACCAGACAATGGTGTGGTGCACTGTGAGGGATTATAAAGTGTGACTTGATGAGTGTAGGCAGGTGCGGTGAATCAGAATTCTGGTGATTGTGAACGAGTGGGTGGAGCTGCAGGATCTGGCGTGGCTGGTGACTCCGTGACAGTAATATAGCAGATACAAACTTAAGTCCAAACATTACAGTTAAAATAACCCTTTAATAAACCATTACCAGATGTTTAGTGTTGGCTAATTCACTCAGATTAGCTTGAAAAATGCAGCCTTTTTGTTAAAATGTTTGCAAAACAAGCATAATTTATGATACCATTGTTATGAAATATGTTGTTAAAATGCAATCTTCACAAACAGTTTTAGAGATTTCAGTCCCTCCCCATTCAAGTTGACAGGAGCTATTTTTGTAGAATGCTCATATGGCCGCCGAGTGAATCGACTTCCCTTTAAAGGGACTTTTCTAACAGAAGGCATCCAGTTTGGTGTCATTTGAGTGATCTGTACGCACTTCGAACTGGAAGGCCCCTTGATTTAGTAAGTACTATACTGTCTCTGAGCATGTGGGAAGATTATGCAAGGACCTGTGTTACCAAGGTAACAAGGACAGGGTCTACATGTGTCTCAAGGCTTCCACCTTGAGAATTTTTCTCTGAGTCATGCGTTATTTCAGTGTGTAACTATGTATGCATGTGAACAATTTTAAAAAAAAATCAGTTTTATACCTTTTAACACTTTATTTTCTGTGTAGCAAGAAATTAAAGACAAAATTACTGTTTCACCTTTAAATCAATGGACATTTGACAATAGATGAAGTTGAACTCTATAAGGTAAATAGTTAGTTGTAATAGTTAGTGGAATAAATAGTTGTCATATTTAGATGATTAACAGACAATATGTCCAGGACATATGACATTTGTTTGTTTGCGAGGCCCAATTGATTACAAAACATATAAGCTGAATCACAAAGTCTGTTTAACTGCAAAGAACTCATACAATCACAGAGCTATTTTTAGTACTATCTTAAACTGGACCCCAATTACTTTCAAAATATTTTCTTTTGTGTTCCACAGAAGAAAGAATGTGATACAAGTTAGGAACGACGTGAGGGTGAGTAAATGATGACAGAACGTTCATTTTTGGATGAACTATTGTTTGCAAGTACTTCATTGACTTCTTAAACAGAACCACAATAACAGACAGCCAAATCTTTCTGAAAGTAAAATGTTTTTCCATGTGTTTCAGAGCCAGTATTTCAAGCATTAAGCCAAAATAGCTCTGGCCTACACACTTCTGCTGAGAATACAACTTGAGGAGCGAGGACAAGAATGGTTGAAGGAGCAGCTCAACCACTTTACAAGCACAGACATGAAGAACATCATCTTTGATTTCTTTAACTATTGCCAAGGGGTTGAGTAGGCAACGTTCACTGGTCAAAAGTGCTGAATGCTTAATAAAAGTAAAACGCCAGATTGCATGGTCACTATATCTGAGGCTTCCAGTAAGGAATGCAGTAACATTCTCTGTATCAGACACTCAAAAGGCTTAATGCTTAATACTTAATACACAAAGGAGGGGCACTACAGCCTCAATAGTGGTTTTGGCTGCCTAACAGAGAGAGGACACATAAGAAAACACACAAACAGCAATTATAAAACCAAGCTATTATAAAGCCATTACTAGATCTTCCATCTCTAATCACTGTCACTGCTCCGCCACAGAAGTACTGGAAAATGGTTAACCCTACACAGAAATATGAAATGGAGAATCAGAGCAAACCATGTGAAAATGGATTTCCTCCTTGCTTTTGCTTGATGAATAACAAGTAAAAGATAAATGCTACCATTTGTACATTTCTAGATAAGTTGTATTTCACTTTTAAAATCTGCTATGAATATGTCTAATAATGTTTCACAGTGCAATGCATCATGAATGATGTTTTGAATCACTATAAAAAACATTATCTGGAATGAAAATTATTCCTGCTTTTATATACTGTATCTTAAGATCTAGCAAATATGATTTTGAATTAGGTTTCTTCCTAATTTATCTCTTGATGAAAACACTGAGATAAACAGGTGGTTTACTCCTGCCACTTTCCTTTTCCAGTGTTGCACCATTATTTCCAGAGGTGCCCAAACTTGATTGATGGCCGTGGGCAGAAAGCAAATGTTGCATATATAGTATCCAACTATATTATAATAAATATGCTTTTTAAAACTAAATTCACTCATACTATCTTCATTTCAGTGCAAAAATAAAACGCATTGAAATGTGATATGGCATGGCAATCAAATCATGAGATGCCAAAACAAGACGGGCCAGATGAACTTATGAGTGTGGCAAAAAACTGCTACAATGCATTCCAAATGAAGCCTTTGTACTTTAATACACTTTGTACTTTAATAGTTATACTGACTTATTAGTAAAATGCAATGATTTTTTATTATAAAATAAAAAATCCATAGTGAAATCCACTCTTTCTAAAGATGCCACTCTCCAAATACGAAAATCTTGAATTCTTTATTCTACAGTTTTTCCCTTGAAATACATTTATTTCAGTACAAGTTCCTGATTTTGTGAATTTGTCATGCTTGATTTGTTTAGTAAACACTGATACTGTTGCCAGGCAGACACTTTCCCTTTTGTGTAGCTTGACTGAGTTCACTATAGCTGAATGACTGGGGACCAGATTCAAGAATGCCTCATGTCAACAAATGTTCATTCAAAGTACTGGGGCCATAAATGAGTAAGACTGTGAGGTCAAGGAAATTATCTAGTGGTCACTCTTTCCAAACCTACAGTACAAGCACAACTTTCCAGTAGAATGGCCTATTTGAATAAATACATTTGATCATGTTGTTTAGCCAACCACTGTAGCCCTATAATCTTTTAACCTATCTTTCACTATACCGTAGCTCCTTTGATTTACCAGCAGCTGCCACTGAATAATGAAAATGAGTTCATTAATAATTAATCACAGGTTTAAAACAAGTCATCACATAACAGACAGAGAGTTCAACATATAGAAATGAAAAATAGTTTTGCTGCATCTCCCACAGTGGTGTCGCCAAATCTGTCCCCTTTGAGATGAACCCCCATCCATTCTCATCTCAGCACCTTCCGTTATAATGTGAAGTCTCCATTCTGCTGCAGCTGGATCTCTAATTAAAGCATCTGCCAGAGAGCCATGAGTCACATAGACATAGTTAGAGGCCTGTAAGTGTGTAAACTTGGGAGTTGTTAAACATTAAACACCTTACAGACAGACACTGGGACATTGATAAGGTTGGTAAGCACTTTTGAACTGTGAAAACAGTCTGCTCTAAATTCAGAGGATGTCTGGCCTCAAATTGAGGAATATATATATATATTTTACAGTCTATTTTTCTGTATATTTTAATATATTTCTATAGTACGTAAACTGCAGTAAGACTGCAATTTATGTATATACATATATATATATATATATATATATACACACACACACACACATAAACACTTGAGAGTTTTATTTCAAATAAATAACTAGTAATTTCACTAGTTTCACTATATGCTCAAGTCATTCTATGGCTCTAACAACTGGCAATAAATAAACCCAAAATAAAGAGATCAGAAGAAAAACATACATTTGGGGTATACGGAGTTCAGTATCATTTGAATGTAATGACATCAATGTTGTATGGCAAAATTATGTTTAGTTTATTATTCTGAAGGTCCAAATACGGATGCTCTGTTTTAAAATACACTGTTGTAGCCTCAAGCGATGAGGAAACCCCCTCAGTTCTCGACAGTATAAGACAACGACATTAAGCTACAATTCAACACTATATGCTGCAGTCTTGGGGTAATAAAGACAGAATAACAGCGAAGAAGTCTAAAATGCCAATTAGGATTTTATTGCTGTTTTGAGAGCACTGTTCCTTGCTATTGTCGTTTTGATCATCGATTTGGAAGAGCACTCATTTTGCAAAAGCTCAGACTGAACATCATTCTTGGATGATGAGAAACCCAACCCCATGTTATTTTCAACTGCATAGCCAATCATATCACACCAATCACAGTCACCATGGCACTTTGATTGGCTACCGATGACATCATTACTACAGAAAGTAAAACACATCACCAATTAATGACAGAATGCTGTCCAATCAGCCAATCAGCTTGTTGTTTGGAAGCCCCTGACAACATGCCTTAGAGGCTGACTGTGTCCTTTCTTTCTCTCGCCCTTCAGACCACACAGACATCTCAAAAACGTACACTAGTGCGAATACATGCATGCGCATTTATAGTACCTGCCAACATTCACATTCACTGCCAGAATTTTGAACAGACCACAAGACACACCTGATGAACACTTTAGCTTGACATCCTTCTACAGAAGGGATTAAGTTTTTTAAACAAATTATAGATAATGAGCCAGCACTATCAAAATAGCAGCATGAGGATGACTGGTGTTCCCCACACAGAGCCATACTGACGTCATATAGTTTATATAGTTCATACAGTCATACAGACATTCTCAGTCTGACTTGTGAGATAAACAAAGTCAGGTTGAGTGTGGCTGGGCACTACTCACTGATAATTGCAATGCAACATCAGTGGTACCATTCTGATAGTGACAGGGTTTTACAAGGCAGCAGGTTCAAAGTGATAGACAGAAAGACAGAAAATGAAAATATCTGAGTGAGCGATGAGGTTCTGTGTTGGAGAAAGCCAACTGTAGGGCCTACAGTAACACAATCAACATTTCATTATGCACTCGCAAAGAAATCATAAGCCCCGACAAAGCTTTTCAGTGGAAAAGATGAAAGAAAGGCCAGTTTAAACAATATGATATACAACAGATTATCTACCTGTTATTTATTTTCCAACACTGCTGTAATTAACCAATGGTTTTCACGGGTAGGACACCAAACTAAAGTGTTTTCAGGTCCATATCGAATTTACTCTCAAACACTATTTTATTACGCAAATCCATTAAAAGGGATAGTTCACCCAAAATGAAAAATCCTGTCATCATTTACTCACACTCATGTCATTTCAAACCTGCATTTTCTGTGGAACACACACAAAAAAAAAATTCTGAAGACTGTCGGTAACCAAACAGTTGTGGTTACCATTGATATACATACACATACATACATACAATAGAGACGTATCTTATTTTAAGTTCAACAGAAAAAACGAAGTTTATACATGTTTGGAAAAACGTGGAGGTGTATAAATGATGACAGAATTTTCATTTATGGGTAGAACTACCTCTTTAAGTGGAATTCTAGAAGATATAGGTCCTGATATAATAGAACGTTGCGATCCAACAAAAATAACGATACGTTATGGAAGCTGTGCAGTGATATAGTGTACACTTCATAGCTACTAACCAGAAGCCATGACTGGAACTATCCGTTTCATAAACATTTTGTCTTTAAATATACACACCATGAGCGATTCCTACTTCACCGTTTGACACGTTCAGTTTCCACAGGCAGTTTGCATCGCAAGTCAGCGCTCTCACTCCATCTACTGGTGTCTCATGTCAACTGATGAGTACAACTGCTAGGGGTGCCAGACGTAACAAAAACTTCCCTCCATGTAAGACTGCCCTGTTCGATCTTTGTACACATTATCTGTCTTCATTTTAAGGATGAGACCAATACAATGCAAATGGTTACTGCCCTGCTTCAATTAATGTAATTTAATAGCAAACTGAAAAATGTTAGCAGTCTTCCGATTTAAAAAAAAAGAAAAAAAAAAGAAGAGAGATACACCATATGCCAGTACCATATTGGTGGAGTTTTATTTTAATTTTTTTTAAATGTTTAGTAAGGCATAACCTTTTTTGTAATTTATCAGTTATCTTTACATGTATCTGCATCACTCAGAAGTTTATTTTTACTCAGTCCTATAAAAAATGAAAAAAATATTTTTTGTGTTGAAAGTGTTTCCAGTGCTTTTCACATTTTGTCCACATTCTGACTGTTACAACTATTTAGAATTGAACCTAATGCAACCCACTTTGCATCTACATATGTAAGCACAATTTCAGAAAATAAAACCATTTTTCATGTGCTGTAAATCCCTGTATAAACACTAGGGCTGGGTTTTGACACAAATTTCACGATTCGATTCGACTCCCAATTCGATTCGATATTATTTTGGATATATATCAGGTACACATGCCAAATTTTCTCAAGGAAAAAAATGATCTTAAATGCTGTAAAATATACACGAGACTCAGTTGGTACTACATTTCTATAATATTGAAGGTTAAAACTAACTGATTTTTTAGGCTATATAACTGCTTCAATTACACTTAAATTTTTTATAAAAAAAAGTTACTATTACATATTTCTACTTCTATTTGTTTTTTTAACATTTAAATGGTGGCTGTCATAAAAAATATAACTTAAACATTGAAGAAAAGTAAAAAAATTATAATAAAATTATATGGTGCATATATTTAGCAAAATGCCCCCCTCTAGTTTAATTTTCTAGCTGACTAATGAGTTTATGGTCACCGAATGTTTTTTTTCTGAGGTGACATTACATGACATTTTTACAAGCAATATTGACGTCTTTGCGCGGCTGAAACACTTATTGAGCGATTACACGAGACAGGATGCGGATTGTAAAGTTGTACTCTTTCTTTTAACTTACCTTCGGATGTTTATTTTGTGCTGAAACTGGTATTAATGTGAATTTGAAATCTGAGACTTTGTTTCATATTAAAAGTACCAAAGCACAATGCTTATTGCGATATATTGGATGGGAAGTGCCCTTCAACATTCCGTCCATTAACTGAAAACAGGCTAGACTAATCGATTCTTGGGATTTAAGAATCGATATCGTTTCGTAAAAATGAGAATCGATTAAAATCAAGATATCGATATTTTTTACCCAGCTCTAATAAACACATCTATTCAAAGGATTGTTATTGGTGTAAATAGTCAATCTATAAACAGAGACATCACAGAATGATTTCTCTGGGACATCATTGAATTATTTTGATTTGGCCATATCTAAACAATCCAAAAGGAAGAATGAGGCAACTTAAAGTTGAATTGCTCAACTCAGAAGCTTATAATAGTGCAGAACTTGGAGTTGAAAAAAGCATGCAGTGAAAATTACAGTATGCAAAACAGCTAAAAAAAACATTTTCTTGGCATTTTCAAGATTTTAAAGGCCATAAAGTATAGCTAATTAGGTACAAAACATTCATCTGAAATACAAATCCAGTCAGTAGATTAGGATATATAACCAAACTATATTGCCTTTGGAGAAATGTTACTTCCTGCTCAAATTCCATTTGTCAAAGAATGTTCTTAGTAAATATTCTGATCAATAATCCACATTCATTAACAGAGAGAGATAGAGATTAAATGCATGTACCAGAGGAAGTTCAAGTATTGTGAGGCAGCGCATTTATAAATGATCTTATTTTGGCACAAGAAAAATATTCAAAGATGTCAACACAGATGATTAAAAAACACTTCTGAGAAAGCAGTTCATGCTTATAAGACTAAGTGTCCAAAGAAGATGGGTGAGAATTACTGGAAATTCAGTGTTCAGATGTTAAAGTGACAGTTCTTCGAGAGGCCAATAGCTTTAGTTCAGTTCAGTATGCGTCACTGCAGCTGGTTCTCTCTCATTTGTCTATGAGCTTGTTTTTGCATTACAATGTCGGGTCGGTATTGACTTCAATGACAAAGTCATCTAAGCCGGTTTCTCTTGACCACAATGGTGCCGGCCACAATGTCATACACAGTCCTGTTGTGCTGAAAGAAAAGAAGCGTGATGAACGCCGGAAAGAAGAAAGCAATGGAGAAGTTCTTGTTTAACGCTCTCACCGTTGACCTACAAGAAAATCAAAATACAAGTTTAAAAATTACATTTTGTAAAAAGGTCAAATATTTAATAAAAAAGACAGAGAGTGATGTTAGCACTGACGCAGAAAGCGTGACGTTAGTCGCTGGTACCACAAGAACGCGGTTTGGCTGAACCAGGACAGAGCTGTCACATGTGACCACTCGTAAGCCAATGAGGAACTTCCCTGGTGTCGCTCCACCAGCTCCCCAAATGCATATGATCTGAAATCAATCGAAAACAGTTATACAGGTCTTCATGAATTATTTCCGCAGATTAAATCATTTCTTTGAACTAACCTCATAAAAGCAAACTAATATCCTGTACACTAGAGCCACAAGCATCATTTTCTGCAATTCCTCCATTGATGTGTCCTCATCAATCTCCTCTACAATGAAGTGCATGGCAAACTTTGAGATGTCCCTAAAATTGACAAAGAGATAAATGAATGATTTTGTTTAACGAAATACAGCATGAGCAATATGTTAGGAAATATACACAATAAAATTTCAGACTTACTTCATTCCACTCAAGTGGACAATACTGAGGATAATTGTAGCTTTAATGAAAAAAAGAATAAAGAAATCCACCATTTCTGCCAAGAACCGTTGGAAAGGAGAGGGAATATAATATTCCCTACCTAGACAAAACACATTATAGACATGAACTGTTTTTGTAAAGTGGATCATTCTTGTTATGAAATATATTTTCATGTCTCATCATATGTCTTAATATATAGGATAAAATAATAATCTCAAAATTTTCAAAGATGGGAATAATATTTGTTTCACAATTAAGTGATCATTCTAAAATAAAACTGGCGATTATAAAGAATGGTGTTTCTTCAACTGCCCTTTCTCCAATTACAAAGTCTCAAACAACACATGTTTTCATGTGAATGTTGTAATTCGCAATAATTTCTGCAATTTCACTTTCTACCTGGTTTGTCTTTTATAATAAACATTTAAAGGGGTCATATGATGCTGCTAAAAAGAACATTATTTTGTGTATTTGGTGTAATGAAATGTGTTTATGCGGTTTAAAGTTAAAAAAACACATTATTTTCCACATACTGTACATTATTGTTTCTCCTCTATGCAAATTGTGGGGTGGTTTGGTGGTATTAGTTGGTTTATATCACTATAAAATACTCCATCCTGTTAGATAAAACTTTCTATTCTGTTAGACATCGTGTTAATTTATTGACAATGTTCACATAATAATAAAGCCAAAATAAATGAAGTTCAAGTGCCTGAGTTTGACAAAAGCATATTTCTGGAAGTCAGGTGTACCACGCTACAGAAATACTTACTTTATAACGAGAATGACCCAAGAGTTAACATGATACAGGTCATATGAATAAAACGAAATTATACTGTACTAACTAATATGCATAAACTAAACGCAAAGTCCAAGAAGGCTCGCTCACAGAGTCACCTGACATTTGAGGATGTCAGATTCATCACTAGGGTAATCATCAACACAATACAACAGCTAGCCTGGCAGTATTAACAACAAAAATATAAGACGTTATTCATTGGATATTATTACCTGGCTGCTGCGCATTTCCATTAGGCTGCTGTTGCTGCTGTAGTTGTTGTGGCAGCTGCGCAGGTGCTCTGGCGGGAGCTCGAGAACTCTGTCCGCTCGCGTTCGCAGCTGCAGCAGGAAAACCAAACGGGCTGCTAAACCAATTGCGAAGGTCTCCGTTAGACATATCTGCGCCCCATGTCGTCGCCCCGGGCGTTTCATTTGTTCCTTGTGTTGGGAAACACGCTGGGAAGGAAAACGCAGACATGGCTATCCAGCTCTGCCAGTTCATATAGCCGTAGTAGTACTGCCACATCCACTCCTGTAATTTTTCGCAGTACTCCGTGGTGGTAACAGCGGTGGCTGTGTCTTGCTTACCCTGGGAACAGGGCTTGTGAATCTGTGTTTTCATGTTTTCAGCGTCCCCAGTTCTACTGTTTTTTGCCAACGATTTGTCCTTATCACGAGCGTTTTCATTTAACTCCGCCATGACACTTTTGTTTTGTGACGAAGTCGGTTTATCGATTTAATCAACTTCCGGCAATATTTCTGCACGCATAATAAAAGTAACAGAAGATATTAGCATAACAAAAGCGTAACTCTTCTTACCTTTTCAGTTGCCTGGAGGTGTGTTTAGCTAAGGAATGGTAGATTTCATCATCATCATCATTAGTAGTACTAGTAGTATTTGTATTATTATTATTATTATTATTATTATTGTTGTTGTAGTTCTCAAATTATTCAAAATCATAGAAAATGGATGACAGTAGACACTTTAATGGATTTAACTTAAAGCACAGTGACATGACAGTGGACATTTAATACATGTTACAGACACTATGGAGTCATGTTTTAAACAGTGTTAGTAAAATGTGTCTCAAAAACCCAGAGCTTACTGCATATTCATATCCCATGTAACTTTTATAACATTGTTCTTTACACTTTACACTACAAAAAAAAAAAACTGATATCTATTTACTAGCTATTTCACTTAATGTAATAGATATTTTACTATTAAACTGCACCGAAAAAAATCATTTTGAAATTGCAAATATAAAGATCATTTGAGTATGTTTTATAAATATGCTCTACTTAAAATTCAATGTGTTACTTGCTGTTTCTTTGTAATTATTTGTGAAATTTACTAGCGATTTGAAAATTGTTGCACCACCTTTTTTCCCCTCAATGTTTTAGCTATTTTACTGATAGCTGTTTTGCCTGATTTACATACATTAAGCAAAATTCAGTTTAACTTCTATTATGTTGCAGACAAAATGAAGCTATGTTTGAAAAAATTGAGTAAAAATGTGTCTCAAAAAACACAGTCTACATGAGACAGGTGTTGAGTGGGGCAGCAATCATGATGCTCATAACCACATCAATGACAAAGTCCAATTAATTGAAGCAATAATAAGAAAATTGTGATAATATCAAGGTACAAGTTCAGAGCAGCAAAGATGTACTCTTCTGGATTGATGCTGTATTTGTGCTTTCCGCCCAGTATGAGCTGCGTGTCCATCACCAGGTACTAAGAATGGAAAATGAAAGTGAGAGACAGTAAGACAAGAACAGTAAATTGGAACTATTAAGCACAATAAAATATTGCTGGCAGACCATTATATTAATACTACGCCAGCCTAATAGTACAAGTACTACAGTGTATCAGGAAGCCCTCCTAGATAAGGATTATGCATTTAAATTTCGACAAAGCTACATTGGATAAAGCATGAATATAAGAAAGATGTGTTCTTACCATAGAGAAGATCAAAGTTCCCAGTGATGCGTAAAGGATGTACAGATACTTTGGAACATAAAAGTTAAGATTAATTAATATAAATAAGTAAGCATTTTTAATAGGAGGAAGAAATATTAGTTGAGGATTTACCTGTGATCTCAGAATTGCACAGAGTAATGCAAATGAAAACAGCGTCCAGCATAATACCCATATGCTCCCTGACAGAGCTGTGAAGTCCCACTAAAAACAAGCATGGGCATGTTTACTACTTTATAACAAAAATTTTGTTAATACAATACATACAGCCAATTTTGTAACTTACTTTAGACTGCAGTGAAAACAAACTCATTGCAAGAGACACCAAAGCAGTTGCACCCACTGCCCAGAGCACTGCCTCTGCTGAATAGTACCTGAATAATAATAACAATTCCTTACTATAACACTGGCTGTGTAACTAAAGTTTCTGAATAATTGAAGAGCAAGTTTTTGAGTAATTGAAATGCATTTACTGCATTTTAATGATGTTTTTTACTCACACTACCACTGATCCAAGGAGAAAGCCTTCTGTGATTGTCTGTGTGGGAAAACAGCACTTAACATTTACAAAAGTTTCACATTTAATGCTCACCACAATTAAATACAGCTGCTCTGTAGTTTACTTACAAACAGCGCTAAGAAGATGAAGTTTAAGGGAACTTTGCGACGTATGTCACCACAACAGATGAGCACAATGATTAGAACAAATGTTGCACACCTTGTGAATTTTGAACAAACACAAGAATTCATTGTAAAATGTATGGACGCAATACATGCATATTATTTAAGACATGCAGAACAAAGGAGAAGTGCTCACATCATAGTGTAGGTAAACCAGTATGTGCCTCTCACCCAATCCTTGAGTGTCTCCCTATAGGAAAAGGGCATAAATGTCAGCATTAATAATATACTGTACACACATTACTGTTCAAAAGTTTGAGGTTGTAATATTTTTTTATGTTTCCCAAAGAAGTCTTTTATGCTTGATGTTTTTATTTGATAAAAAAATACAGTAAAGACAGTAATATTGTGAAATATTATTACAATCTAAAAATAAATATTTTTTATTTACATATATTTTAAAATGTAATTTATTCCTGAAGGCAAAGCTGTATTTTCAGTAGCCATTGCTCCAGTCTTCAGTGTCACGTGATTCTTCAGAAATAATTCTAATATGCTGATTTGGTGATCTACAGTATAAAGATTCCTTACTATTATCAGTGTTAAAAATTGCTGTTCTGCCTATGTGTGTGTGTGTGTGTACATTTATTTCACAATTCTCTGATGCATAAAAAAGTTCAAAGAACAGCAAATCTTTTGTGACATTATAGATGTCACTTTTGGTCAGTTTAATTAATCCATGCTGAATTTTTTATTTTTTTTTCTTAAAAAAAACAAATTTAAAAAATCCTACTGACCCCAAACGGTACTACAGTGTGTGTGTGTGTGTGTGTGTGTATATATATATATATATATATAAACTGACGTAAAATAAAGACGAGTATACAAGCTCAAGCCTATGAAGTAACACTTAAGTACACTTCATTATCTGTCATTTGTGTTTCGAAATGAATTGAAGTAGGTGTGGCAACATAAACACCAGTCTACTCACCAGTAAAGAAAAGCACAGATGATTCCAACAGTTGTTAATAGTTGAACCATAAGTGTCAGATACACTTTTCTTATGAAACCTACATGAAGCACATTTGAATACAAGAAACAAGTTTTTAGCATTGACCATTCCCATGTGCATGACATTGCTGATAGCTGACAGCTATTTAAAAGTACATAAGCTCTTGTGTAAAATTCGACTGTATGCCTAATATATACATATAAACATATTTCATTTGTGAAAATGTTTTAGTGATATTTCATGTATTTTTGCTGTGTAGTAAACACACACACACATCAAGAAACATGACTATATTAGGTTTTAACACAGAAAATGACATTTCTGACTGTAATAGCACAACCAAATGATTAAAGTCATTTCAAGAGAGCACAGCTGACCTCTTCTTATGGTAGCATCTGAAAAGCAGTTTTCATCTTCAAATCCAAGGGTGTATTCAGGGGGAGCGCTGTCTGGAATCCCCATATTGACATGTTCAACAACGGGGGGCATCATGCCAGCGGTGGGCTGCCCAATGTTGCCCTGTGTTGCATTAGGATATTGCGGAGGGTAATAGGGGTTGTATGGAGGGGGAGGCTGCTCTCTGTTCATATTGTATCTCTCAACAAACCTAAGTATAGGTATAGACACAATTTAGGAAATCAAGAATAAATAGTACAAACTCTTAAAATGTTTTACGATAGACACAATCAACACAGACAAATACTTCTTGTATGACAACACATTTATCTTGAATAGCATAGTAATGACACATGTTTAAGATCTAAAATTAATTTAGGATGTCAAATTATCTTTATGTTAAATTGTTACAATTTTTATCTAATACACAAATGATACATAACAATATTGTTAAATTTTGCTCACATTATAACCACCACTTACCGTTGGCACTCCTCTGCTTCCTGTTATGAGTTGTGTAGGGCAAAGTCTGTTCTCGATGAGTTTGTCTCCAGAGGGACAGGACTTTGCATAGCTTATCAAATCAATACACATTCATGAGAGCCAAGTTCATGTGGGATTAATTTTTTATTTTTTACATTTCACAATGAAATTAAAACTGACATAATATAAGTACCTCTAATGAGCGACTATATGCGCCTCTAAAATAAAAAGTTAATGCTTTATTTCATTAGAGGACAACCTCTTTGTGGTGTGATTAATGGGATAGTATAAAATTCTCAAATTTTTTGCCTACCATCAGTTTCATAAAAGCGCCAAGCTCCAAAAATGACAAAAGACATCATAAAAACATCATAAAAGTTGTTTTAAATCTGGGCCTATTCCTCACTCAAAGCTGTTGCATGGATTCGGATGACTTGGAATATAGTGCGTTTTGTCTCATCTTTCACCTTTCACTATATAGAAAAAATGTGACCATTCTGCTAAACTTTACCTCTAGTGTTCCACAGAAGAAAGAAAATCTTTGAAATAACAAGAAAGTGAGAAAACGATGAAAGAATTTTCATTTGGGGGGAAACTAGTACTTTATTATATATATATAAACCTTTGATATTAATAATTATACAAATATTAAAGCATTAATATATTGAATTTATTTTCATATTTTATTACATTTCTATGGGAAACTTGACTAACTACTTGAATTTGCATTCTGTCAGAAAGAACTACAAATAATTCATTAAACGTTACATTGCATATCCTGTAGATGGCGTTAAATATATTGACAAGTAAATGTGCAGGTGTGCTACCTTAGTCATGAATAAAACATGTACCCATAAGTTAAAATGAACTACAAGAAGAAGAAGAAAAAAACAAATCAAGAAAATTACTATTAATAATTCATTAGCTGCTTATTTGTATGTAAATATAGCCAAACACTGGCGGATCTTTGGTCCTGATTAATGAATAATTCATAAGCGTCTGCAGCAGTGTTCATGCCCACTGCTGCATGCGCAGCCTTGAAAAGGACAGTCAAGCGTCTTAGAATTTTCCAAAGAAATAATTGTGTCATCTGTTACTCTTTTCCTGGCTTTTGAGTGTATTTTAATCTTTTAACAGTTTTAATCGTTTCAGCATTTGACTTGTATGGCGGGGTGCCACAAACTTAGGTAAGAAAACGTCCGCAAGGTAGGTCTCCATAGCGACGTCTATATTCTTGCACGAGTTTCTTCGAGTTGTAATCTGTCTCAATTTAAAAGTCGACCTGGTTGTTTTGATGCACAACCATAGCAAGGCTACAGGCAAAACGTGAGAGGGGATGAGGAGAGGGGGGGAGGGCGAGAGAGAGGGGACAGAGGCGAGGATGGGAGGAGAGACGACACAACGAGAGAGAACCGTTCAGCCACTGGCCTTCACCAGAGTGATTAATATTCAATGACCTGTGATCTAAACTCACGCAGGGGACGTCAAAACAACATTGGTTTAATCATCTCAAAGAAGGAAGCGCAGGGCGAAGTGAACTACTGCTCTTGCACTCGAAGTCAGCGCTTGCTAGTGGCGATTTTCAAACTTTTGCTTTTAAGAATTAATTTCCAAAGTCAGGATGGAACGGCGTCTTGTATCGTATGCAAATACGTCTGCTGACGTAGTTGATCATGTGGGTTTTGGCGTAGATCCCCCTGTGATCGCCAATTTTTTTCGGCTGTTGTCTTTAGAATTCGGCAGAATCATTACAATCGTACGCTTCTGTGGGCTGTACACGTGGAAAAGTACGCAATTTCGGACTCTAGCTGTCAATAACCCTACATCCCAGCGTTTTCCGTTGGTTGGTGGGCAGGTAAGAATGGCTGAATTATTTGTGTCGGTTGGAAAATTGGCAAACAAGCCTTAAAGTTGCGGGCGTGTTTGAATGCACACAATAAGTAGTAGCCTGAAACGTGCTGTAAAGTGCTTCTGATGTCAGTTGTTTATTTCAACTGAACTTTGTTTGCCCAAGGCATATTGTAGAAAGTGAGCACCAGAATAACCGCATCGACCTGACCCGATAACCTCAGTTTTAACGTTTCCAGCGCTGTGATTTGGTGTGGCTTGCGGAAAGTTTCATAGAATGGTTAAAGTTAATAGGCAATGGGTGCGAGAACATGTCTACTTCTCTGATGTCGAAATAAGCAGCAAAATATGGCTACCAATGTCGACATGGCGTTACGTCGGTCCAAGTGATTTTTATTGGAGTCTGTTTT